ATTGCTTTTAAACAATTAAACAAAATGAATTAATTTGAAGTGTTATGTATTACAAAATCCGTGGCTCGGAGCATACGCCCAGCAATCCACCGTTCGAAGCTAAAGCAATGATGTTGCTACCCCTTTAATAGGAATTTCAATTTCGCACGTTCCAGTTGTTTCAGTAGAAAACGCTCGCCCCAAAACGTTCGTTTTTCGCTTCGTTTGAACGCGAGGTATTTTGTCATTGCGCGTTAAACGCGAGTTGCGCTTTCGTTTAATCGCCGGCGATGTTTATCCGCGATTGCACGACCAATGATAGAACGGCAAACCGTTTCTGCATCGGTGACCCGAACGCCGGTATTTTTCTGTCAGGTAGACGCGGATTCTATTCGTCGGCGATGGTGATAAAAGGGAAGAGTGTACGTATATCGTCGGCGAGAAAAACGCGCACTAGACTTTCAGAGGCTCTCGCGATTCCTTTCGGAGAATCCTCGAGAATATCCGAGGCCACACGTGGTGACATTTGATTTACGATTATTCGTCGAGAGCCACTGAGAGAGAGAAAGAGAGAGAGAGAGAGAGAGAGAGAGAGAGAGAGAATACTTTTTACTCCGGGGCAGATATTTCACGCGGTCACAGCGAATCATTAATTGTTGACGTGTATTTTCATGGCACACCCGCGAGCACGCGTTCTTCCGCTGGCTTACGGTTAACCAAATACGCCGCATATTGTTTTAACGTCCAACTGCGAATATTCGAACACGCCGGAATAATTTATATTTCCATCGAAACTGTTCGAGCACGTGCAAGTGACTTGTGGACCACCCATGAATTTTGTAGCCTCCACCAAGTTAAATTTGATCCGTGAATAAGTTCTCTTTAAAATAACCTTTTACATTAGCTATTCGAGAATAACGGATCGGGTTTCCCCGAGCTCGCACGCGATTGATTAAAGGAACATAAATATTCTATGCGTCTGACTAACGTATGTACAAAAAACGATCTTTGTTAGCGAAAGTATCGCTATTTCTACTGTGTTTTTCCCCGTATTAAATTCACGTTTCGACGAACTTAATTGCGAAAACATGAGAGCAGGTGTGCGAATATAAACGGAGATCATGAGCGTCGCTAATCCGGACGTATCCGCGCCATCGGATTCCGATTCTCGGGCGGACACTTGTGAGAGGATTTAAGATTTATCCGTTTTTTTTTCACCCTCCCGAATAATCGAGGATTATACTTAAATTTATTTACGAATTCAACGGTAATAAAGAACTCACGTGTCGCACACATGCGCAATAGATTTTGCTTGCATTTCAGATATCCTGCAAATCCGGCGAAGCGTTATAAGACCCGCCGGATCTCGCACGTTTCTCGTACGTTACGTATCAGTTGCCACCGAATTGAACGATCCTGATTTATCGTCAATCTCCGCGAAACAGTCGTCGATTGATTGGAACGGGGCTTTATAGCGTCATTTATAGCGATCAAAGAAACGTCCGAGATAAAACACCTTCATTTTTACACAGGGCGTAAGAAGACAAAAGACTCGGAGCAAAGGCAGCCGCCTTTAATCGCTTCGCTGGGCAAAGTGCTGCACTTGTTGCGCTTATCGTTTATCGTTAGCATTTTTCTCAGTGCTTTAAATTCTTAAGATCATAGATATTATATTTTACGCGCCGCGCTTTATATATCTTACATTTAATCCGCTTAAAGGGAGAGGGTGAGATGAAGTTTGCGCATCGCCGCGCCAATTTAACTTGACGAACACTCTTTCTCTTTGCCGTGCTAATTTACGCGACTGCAATACGATATTCACTGCCTATATATATAAATAAATATAAATATGACGTATTAAATCTTCAGGCATTTATAAGATTGTAATTTCATTATTGAAAAGAGAATTCAAAATATATTCAAAAGCAAATTTGTTTCAATCTGCGTAAAATGTTTCTTTCGCACCGTTATACGTTATCCGTTATATCTTTTGACAGTTTCGAATAGTAAGATCAACTGGGTGGAGCCACACACAAACTGCATCAGAGCTTGTCGACCAGTCAAACGTCAATGCTATATATATGCGTTTCTGATCCATATGTCGACGCGAAAATCCGTCGTGCGTTAGGTCGGAGCGATTGCAGGATACTCGCACGGAAATAGAGATGCGATGAATCGTCACGCATCGATCGAGTGAAAACAATAACGAAAAAAATAGAAAAAAAAAAAACTCGAAAACGACGGATTCTCGGGCCAAGTTCTAACGCAGCGCAGATACCGAGAGTATGAGGCGAAAAGAGAGAAAGAGAAAAAGCGGAAAAGAAGGAGAGAGAGAGAGAG